CTATTTATAAATATTGATTTTAAGTTGGATGTCTTTCATGAACAACGTAGCCTAAGCGAATTTTATCATCTTTTTTTTGTATGGTTACAGATTATCTATAAAATAAACAATAATAATCATTGATTATGTCATACATAGTCCATCGTGTTCCTAGTTTTTTTAAGTGATAATTTAATATATTATTTTTCTAGATCAATTTAAATAAGTATATCAACGCCGAACTTAATAAATTTATAAAAACTTATTTTTTCATAGCCTCTCAATAAATTCTTTTTGCCAGTTGAGCTTTGCCCGTTGTCATATAAGTTTAGGTAATTACGTACAGTTTAGGCTTCGAGCTTTGCATAGGAGATGACGAAAAGATTAGTTAATTAACAAATTAATTAAGATATGGGTTGGCAAATGGCAATGTTCAATGTTGCGAGTTAAAATAGTAAAGTTGCAGGATATTTTCAACGTGTGTTAGTTGTTACTACTATTAAGAAACTTCTTTTCTTGGTTGTTGAATTGTGTGAACTTATATATGAAGATTGGAATGAAGGACCTTTACATAAAAAAAAAAAAAATTTGCACTAGAGAATTAAGTTGTGTGTCACTATTTATGGAATTAGTATACAATTTCCCAGTAATGGTAATGGAGATTTAGATGTATTAATATTAAAAATGGTCAGACTATTGCAACAAGGATCTGAAGCATGGAGAGAGAGAGCAACAAAAAAGAGCATCTCTTTCTGCCTAATTTATTATTCAAATTAGATGATAAACTACTAATAATTAACATATAAAATTCTCACTCAGCATGTTGTTTGAAGTCATCCATGACATTATAAAAAGTAAAAACTTATATATAATTTTTATATTGATTAATCAAAATATAAACTATAAGCATATATAAAAATGAAAGATTAGAGCAAGCGTGGCTGCAAATTGATGACCAAGAAACTAGAAACTCCTTATCCTCGTCATGAACTGGCTTTGCTTGGTAAGATGAAAAAGAGTTAAGGATAAAAATTTGGCTACTCCAATGATTACTTTATGAATTAGAAAAATAATTATGAAATTTATAAATTAATAAATTTTTTTATCTTTACCTCTTTTCTTTAATCTTTCTACCAAATAAAGCCAAAGAGAAGATAAAGAAGGCAGGGCAGATCTCTTTTAATTTGTTTAAGGAGGATAAAATCTTCGTTTAAGAGATTTGCTATCGAAACATGACAATCTGAACAGATGTACAATGTTGTTTATAATTAAGGCACCTAACTTTCACTTGCTCTCCAATATAGAGAAGTAATTAATTAAAGATATTTTTCAAAGAGGAGCTTTTAGAACAAGAAGAGACAATAAAATTAGGAACAAACTCCAAAAACAAAAATAAAAAATAAAAAAAGAAATTCTTTTAACTAGCTAGAAACAGCAAAGCAAAAGAGTGAAAAAGCTATATATATAACTAAGTAATCCTAATCTAGAAAACCAATCGTCCCCACTTGCTTTTGAGTTCCAATATTTACAACTGTGGCTTACATTTCAATAGAAAGTTGAAGAAAAAGATGCCCATTTGGCCATCATTGTCATCCTTCTTTGTCTTGATGGCCCTCGACAGCCTCTGAAAATGATCTTGGTATTGGACCGCATTCAAAATGAAAAGAGGATAGACACTAAACTCCAAAGGGATATATGCTACGTACCATTAGCCATCTCCCTTCGCCATCTTAATTCCCACAACTGGCATTAATGCCATCATCTTTCAGCTTGAATGCTACTATTGTGCATAACAGAGTTCAATTTTTTTGCATATAAGATGATCAATGGGGGACCTCTAGACAAGAAGCTAAAGATCAAAATGTTATTGTCACAGCGGATGTTATTAAAAATATATTCGGTATAGAATTTAATATGACATTGATACCTGACAAGTGCACGAGACATTGATAGCTTAAACAATTGCTGCCTGATATTTATTCCGTTTTTTTAATATTTCAAATTGGTAAATACAAATTGATCTTAATATCTTCGTAATATGAAACGTAACATTAATGAAATATTGCCCCTCTACCCCCAATGTACATCATATAAATCTACTAAAGGGCTCAAAGTTGTACTTTATACAAGTACAAAGTCCCTAATATATAATTGGTTTGTTTCTGTCTTCACAAACCGACTTTATCTAGCGGTTAGAATTTAGAAACTCAATGTTAAAGCTTAAATTAGGGGACAAAAAAGTTGAAAGCTTAATGTCATCTTTATATTTGTAAATGCCAATGGGGTATGGAAAATGATAGTCACGTGCAGTCCTAATCCAGCCTTTATTGTCCATCACACAAAACCATGTGACTCTCACTAGAGTATGGCTGCGTGATGGAAAGATTGCGACTTGAGAAGTAAGGGAGCCATAAAAATCGGATTTGGAAGTGTATGAATAGTAGGTTTCATAGGATTTAAATTTCACCATATTCTTCTATATACTTAAATTGCACATTTTCAATATGTAATAATACAATGATTGTGTTATTAAGACGATTTTAACACAACAAAAAAAAGCCCACACTATCATACATATACAAAAAATTTTGTAAGTCTATAAAAGAATATGTATATAGGAAAGTATAACAAAATTTTCGGTAGCAAAGGGTGTCCGTACGCAAGAATTAAAGTTTTACTTAATGATTTTTATTTCAATTTTTAAGGAATATATATTTTTTGATAATCAAAATTTAAAAATCATAATTCGAATCAAAGACTTAACGAATGTCCATTAAAAAAGAAAATAAGCAAAGATTACAAATTTTGTGACAAATTCACCTAAAGATGCATGACTATGACCACTATCATTAATTAATTATTAATATTATCATAATATATAGATAATAAATCTATAGTTAGATTTAACAAATAGAGTCGTCACAAATTTTTTTTAATTAGGTGCGATTGACCACCTAAGGAATCTATCCTTTTAAAGAGCTTCTAAGCTTGATTAAAGGTCCTAAAAAATATGTTCGGATATACAAACCAGAACAAGGTTCGAGAGTTCGGTTATATATGAAAAAAGTTATAACACCCTCACATACCCATCCAAAAGATGGTATCATATTATTTTAAATTTATCCTTAGGTTTTGATTCTAATGGTTTTAAAAATTAATGTGAAATATTGAAAATAATTCTTAAGATTCTTTATCAATCTAACAGAACTTTTAAAAATATTTTCTTACTGTAAGAGTATTCAAGGATCTCATTTGTTTCCAAAGAGGTTTCGTTTTCAGAAAGATTTGTTTTGTTTCATTTTTTGTTGAAAATATATCTAATTATTTCACAATTTTGGTCAAATTAAAAGTATTTTCTCTTTTTGAATTTTTAAATTTTTCAACATTTGGGCCTATTTAGAATTTTTTTATTTATCTTTCTTTTTTTATTTATAAATTTTTCACCATTTAGGTCAATTTAAAAATATTTTTTCTTTTGAAATTTCTAAATTTTTCATCATTTAGGCCTATTTAAAAATTCTCTTTTTTGTGTTTTTTTAAAGAAAATAATATGACAATTATTTTTTTTGAGATTTTATTTAAATTCTTTCACAATTTGGGACAAATTTAAACAAATTTCTTACTTACAGGTTTCTTAAGAAATTTACTATTTGAAATTTTTTAAATTTTTTTAAAAGTCTCATAATTGGATAATTGTCGAATATTTTCAACCAAAATTTTTATTTTTTTATTTTTTAATTGAAAATAAATATTAATTATTGTTATTAAAATTTTATCTAAATTATTTCATAATTTGAGATAAATTTAGACAAAATCTTTTACTTAAAAATTTTACAAAAAATTATCATTTAAAATTTTTATAAATTCCATCATTGGATAATTAATACTTATTTTCAAAAAATATTTTATTGTTTTATTGTTTTATTCTTTTTTTAAATTTAATAATGCAAAAATACTAAATAAATAAAATAAATAAATAAATAAATAATAATAAATACCAAATAGGAAAATGGTTCAACTCAACGACTAGAAGGCTCAGCTCAACTGTAGAAAAAAAGCTAGAATAGCTTAAAAAACGGCTCGGCTTGACTCTACTTGAGACAAACTGAAAAAAATCATCGAAATCTAGGAATTTTTTAGATTTTTTTGCAAAATTTTTTTTAAAACCAAAAAAAAAAATCTTCTAAAAATTTTATTGATTGATTTTTGCCTTTCTCCTTATTTTTTGTGTATTTGTGTGATCTATATGGACATATTTATAGGGTCCTAAATATGAGAACTCCAATCCATAAAAGAATCTCAATTTCTTTTGAATTTCAACTTTAAATCCAATTCTAACTTTACAAACCAGTTTTAATAATTTCATATAAACTCAACTACTTATTTTTTTTTATTTTTTTATTAATAAAATTATCTCAAGTAGAGCTCTAAACAGATTGGAATATTTATAAATATTGTCCATACTCAGGCTGGAAAAGTTAGACCGGAAACATTTCCTAAACCTTGGAGAAGAGGGTATTATTAATGTCCAGATATACATAAAATAAAAGAGACCAAAAAAATCACTGTTTACAATTATGGCTACAATAACTTAATGTGGGGGTGATTAGCCTGGAAGTGTAAGTGAAATGAATAAATAGGAATGTGGTAGTCGGAGACAAGGGGAATGAGTGATTGGATGTTGATTAAGAGAAGAAGGGGCAATGCCGTTAATTGTCATTAAACCAGTGCTGGGGATTATGGGTGAATATGTTTGAATTATGAACATTATGAGAAAAATATATGAATGCAATGTTTTGCGAAGCGGGTGGGAGAGTGTGGGGCTAAGTGATGTTACCAAGATTTGGTGGATGAAAAAGAGTGGGAAGAGAGAGCCACGTGAGTCGAGGGAGCTCCAGGAAGAGGGAGGAACGCGGAGTTAGACTTCATAATGAAAAAGAAATCAAAAGGCTTATTGAACAACAATTAAAAAGAAAAAAAAAATATATTGGGGGATATGAGTTAGTTTCAAGTTTCAACAGTAGACTGATTTGATTTTTAACTCGCTGCCTTCCTGTGGGAATAAGTGTGTCTCTGACTCTAAATCTCACTTTCATTGGTCCCTAATTTTGGGACCCTCTGCCTGGAAATATGGCTCAAACTCAACCCTCGGTCAGGCAAATTTTTTGGGGCCCCACAGATTGATGTATTTTTTTAAATATAAAATGAGAGTTTGACCTGAGCCATCCTCTACCGTCTACAAAAATGTTTCAAGTGACCATCACTAGGTGCAATTACACAAACCCCCACGTGTCATTCCTTAGATGTCTGACGGGGACCTACATACAAATAAATCCCATTCTCTTTCTCACCCCCCCAAACTCTATTTATACCCCATTTTCTCTTCCTTTCATTCCAAAGCGCACCCTCTCTTCCATCTCCTCGCACTTTCTCTTCTCTCCCTGTATGCTTTCCTTTTTTTTTCAAAGGAACAAGCGCAAAACACTCTTGCCCTCGAGCACACCCAAAACCAGAGAAACCCTTCTGACTTCTCCCTTTTAAAAGCTATGGCTTCTTTCACAGGTAGTTGTGCCAAAGCCCAGATTTCCCATCCTCTTTCCTCCTCAACAGTAGATTTGGGCTTCTCTCCAACATCCTTCATCTGGAAGAAGCGGCAGCCCAATAAAACTAGTCTTACGAGAAGCAACAACATCTACATTATTCACTCAGCTTTGCACTCTCCTTCGGTTCTCCATATCCAAAAGCAACCATATGAAAACCCCTTAATCCCCTGGGAAGACACGTCATTAGTAAAACGCAAAACCCCGCACAAGCCCCAACAACAGCCGCAGTGGAACTTCCTCCAAAGAGCTGCAGCCATGGCCCTTGACATGGCTGAAAGCGCGTTGGTATCACGCGAGCTACAACACCCACTTCCTAAAACCGCTGACCCACGTGTGCAAATCTCCGGAAATTTCGCTCCCGTCCCTGAAAAACCCGTCAAGCAATCTCTTCCAATCACCGGCACCATCCCTTCTTGCATTAACGGCGTTTATGTCCGCAACGGCGCCAACCCTTTATTCGAACCCATTGCTGGCCACCACTTTTTCGACGGTGATGGCATGGTACATGCCGTTTCCATTGGTAACGGGAACGCCAGCTACGCTTGTCGTTTTACTGAAACGCAAAGACTTTTACAAGAAAAAGAATTGGGCCGCCCTGTTTTCCCTAAAGCAATTGGTGAACTACATGGCCACTCAGGGATTGCCAGGCTTTTGCTTTTTTATGCGAGAGGTCTTTTCGGCCTTGTTAATCACAAACAAGGCACTGGAGTTGCTAACGCTGGCTTAGTATATTTCAATAACCGACTTCTAGCTATGTCCGAAGATGATCTTCCTTACCATGTGCGCATCACTTCCTCAGGTGATTTAGAAACAGTTGGAAGATACAATTTTGATTATCAACTTAAATCCACAATGATTGCACATCCCAAAATTGATCCTTTTTCCAAGGAACTCTTTGCTTTGAGTTACGATGTTGTCCAAAAGCCTTACTTGAAGTACTTCAGGTTTTTACCTGACGGTACAAAATCACTAGATGTCGAGATTCCTCTATCCGAACCAACTATGATGCATGATTTTGCCATCACCGAGAATCTCGTGGTGATCCCTGATCAGCAGGTGGTGTTCAAGCTACAAGAAATGATTACCGGCGGCTCTCCTGTGATTTACGACAAGAACAAGAAGTCCCGGTTTGGGATTCTTTCTAAAAATGCAAGTGATTCTAAGGATATTATATGGGTTGAATCGCCTGATACTTTCTGTTTTCATCTCTGGAATGCCTGGGAAGAGCCAGAATCGGATGAAGTTGTGGTGATTGGTTCCTGCATGACACCTCCTGACTCTATTTTCAACGAATGTGAGGAGAGTTTAAAGAGTGTATTGTCCGAAATCAGGCTTAATTTGAAGACAGGTAAGTCCACGCGCCGCCCAATAATCTCAGAATCAGAGCAAGTGAACTTGGAAGCAGGGATGGTGAACAGGAACCGGCTTGGAAGGAAGACACGGTATGCTTATCTTGCCATTGCTGAACCATGGCCTAAAGTGTCAGGATTTGCGAAGGTTGATCTTTTTACTGGGGAGGTAAAAAAACACGTTTACGGTTATAGAAGATATGGTGGGGAACCGTTTTTCTTACCTCGAGACGACAATTCTGAATCTGCTGAAGATGATGGCTATATTCTTTCCTTTGTTCACGATGAGAAGAATTGGAAATCAGAGCTTCATATTGTGAACGCCATGAATTTACAGCTTGAAGCTTCAATTAAATTACCGTCCAGAGTTCCATACGGCTTTCATGGAACGTTTATAGACGCTAAGGCCCTGGTCAATCAATCTTAATTAAACGTAAATTAAGTTAAAAAAATTACCTTACAGGGAGATTTTTACCAGAGGGATGGTTCAGAGTACAGATCCCCGGATTCTCCTGGAAATTTATTTTTTTGGGTTACGTATGGGTTTTTTTTACCCCTTTGTTATAGGTTTCAAGGAACCAACTTTGTAGCTTTTAAGCATGTAGCTATAGAATTTGAGCTCAGCTGGTTTCTGTTTCCTTCTTTCTTTTAATTTCATTTTTATCGCTTGAATTTTCACTTTCTACATTGTAGATAATAAGTATTAATAGTTTACAGTTTTAATTTGCAGTGTACAAATGCAGAATTTGCCTATGTCTTTTTTGGTCATGAAGAATTTGCCTGTTTCAGCTGTTCCCATTTTTCTTAAATTAATGCTGACAGACTATTATTTTTCGTGCATGTTTTTTCTTTTTTATCTACAATTAAGTTTGAATAAGTTTTTTTGCATTTCGCCAGCAGTTAAACTTTTAGTTAAAAGACTAAGATTCAATCATTTCAAACGTAGCTTTTTATCTTTTGGGTTTTAGCTGCTACTAACTTAAGATTTTTTTTCCCTCTTGTCAGCATATATAGAAGAGATTTCTGAGTCCAAAAGCACATGCTATGGATCCATGGTCGGTTCAAGACTTGAAAGTGATTTAAAAATTTTTAGAGAAAATAGAAAAGACAACACTAACTAATAAACATATATATATATATATATTAACAGAGTGATCAATTCATAAACATAGTTAAGATTCAATGTTAAGGCAGGGAGGGTGAGAATCTAAGATAATGAGATGCTTTTGATTTGATTAAAGATAGCTTCTTAATTAAAATGACTCTGTTTCGGAGTGAATGCAAGTGAATGAAAATTATAAAATATTAAAGGCACAAAACCCGAAATACCTACCAGAGGTTAAGTGTAAGCAGGATCCCGAAGTGTAATGAAAGCAGTGAAAAAGCCAATAAATGCGCTCTTTACTCCATACATCACTCGATTGTGACTGTTTCTACGTCACCTACTTGGTCTTTCGGTTTGCCGTTTGCTTTGGTTTGCAGTAATTAGCCGAGATGGTAAATTTGGATTGAGATATTTTGAATTCCTTTTATTAGGTTTGAATTATTTTAATTTTGATGATTTTGAGTTACTCTGAATTTAAATCAGGTTCGAATAATTAGATTATTTTTTAAATTTTAAAATTTTTTTCAAATATGATTAATTAAACATATATAACATGATCCAAATTTCAACTATTAAAAATGAGATGACCCCAATTCAATTCAATCCATTCAATTACTACTTTGCCCAAATCTTAATTTTTACCTTTATTAATTTTTTGGATAATCTTTTTGCAATTCATTTATTTAATTTATTAACACTAGAAAGTTTTACAATGCTATAATTATGAGTCGGCATTCAAATATTTTTGTTATATTGGTTCCTCTTAGAATACATTTGATGATCAATTAATTGAAGCCAAATTAATTGAAGCGATTGCATCTTGTATTATGAAAAAAAAAAAAGCAGCTAGCCTAAGAAATATTATGAAATATATATATATATATATTTATATTCCGACCGGGCTTTTATTTTTGGTATTTTGTTTAAAAAATTTATGTAAAAATTCATAATTTGCCGGAGAATGAATGTAGGCCATAAGTTTTATAAAAGTTGGCTGTATGAGGGATGGCAGCTGCACGTTTAGGTTTCTGACATCTCATTGGGAAATATATAGAAACAAGCAGCAAGTGGGATACCAACCAAAACAAAAGTCCCACTCAGCTTTATCGTAGGTTTTTCTCCGAAAAGTCTACGTCTTCACACCCATAAAATTAAAATCAATTTCGTCTTTGAACTCGAAAGAAAACCTTATGCTTTTTCTTCTCTCTTATTTCCAACCATCGAAATCATTATGGATTTTCCACGGACTTTTTTGCATTTAAAAGAATTACCTCTCACCATGCCACATTTTCAACATTCATGATAGATATTCACATATATAGTGTTGATGCTTTAACACGAGTTTGCAAATTTTTTTTTTTAACAAAAAATTCAAATCTAAGGATAATTGAAGAATGTAAATTTGTAAGTATTGAAAATCGAATTTTAATTTTAAAAAAATTATTTATTAAAAGAGATAAGTGAGTTTTTTTAAAATAAATTCAAATTTGATTTTACAGTTTTTAATATTAACTAAAAAAATTAATTTTTAATAATAATGATCATGAATATATGATAAGGGCTGTCGGTCGTGGTAATAACTATTAACTAAACAACTCTTCCCTCCTGAATGCTATGATCTAGAAACTGGTCCACTGAAATTGGAACTATCCTATGAATTATTCAATAAGAAATTCGGGTATGAGATTAAAAAAAAAAATCTATTAAAAAGGTGATCCAAACCACGGTTGTGGTATGGTCGTTATATTGTTAAATAATTGTAAAGGTTTTGTTAACCAGCGTTTTTAAAGCATTATTTAAGATTAATTAATATTTTTGCATAGTAAGAATCTTATATTAGATGCAATGATACTTAACAATTTTTTTTTTTTTGTAAAAAAATAAAAAAATCGTAGTTTGAGAATAAAAAATAAATTATAAATATTAAAATTTAAATTTTTAATTTGTTGAATATCGAATCTTAAAAGAGTTATATGAATTAATTAGATTAATTTTTTTCAACTTTATTAATGAATTTTAGTGTATTGAGTATTGAAGATATTAACTTTGAAAAAGTGCTCCAAAAACACTAGTAACAAAATCCTAATTATAAAAATGTTAAAAAAAACTGTTTAAATGGTAGTCAACATTTTTTTTTTTTTTTAGTATTGTTGCTTTCATTTTTTCCATGACAGCAATAATAATTAATTAACTTTGCTGCTCAATACTTTATCAATACGTTCCATGATATAATTTATTGGAAGCACTTTATTTATCAGCCATATATAAATATTTATTTTCAATTCGACCCTTTGTCCTTCTATCCATCAATATTATGCATTAACTACTTGATTAAGATAACTGCTTCATTCTTATATTAATTATCTTGATTTACCGTAACCATACATTTCTTTTCATTGAAGAAATTTGCATTATTAGTACATTTTATTTCTATATATTACAAAAATAGGAACAGAAGAATTAAACTTAGCATTTGTCATCTTCTGCGGAAGACGCCACCGACCATGGCTACTCTAATCCCCACATCAAAAACATGAAACATTGTAACCCTATTTTCTCTCTCTCTCTCTAGTTTTCTTGTCTTCTTCAAAACCCTAAGATATATAATGATCCAGAGCACACAATCAAGGACTTCTATTTTTGTTTGTGAAGGTGGGTCATATGCAATAATTCAAGTGGTTAATATATCAAAGCAGAACCACTAAATAATATAAAATTATTTTAGTTATTTGGCTACGAGCGGCCGATAGTCGCCATTAATCATCTGCTTAAGTATAATAACTATTAGTTATATGTTATTCATCAATCACTTTAGTGAAGTTACCATATCTAGAATGACTTTCTGAACGTCGGCACATTACATTGTCAACATGGTTGGAATCATATGCGTAACTGATGAGGTAAAACAATTAATCAGGGGAGCGTAAGTCAAATGCGAAAATTTATCTTCATTTTTCTTTCCCTGGTGACCACACATAAAACGAAATAAAAGACATGGGGAAGTAGCCTTTTTCACTTTTCTTCTTTTGGCTAGATGTTTTTAAAATTTGACACGAGAATTGATGCATGGTCTATTTCTTTCTTTTTTTTTTTCTTGTCAAAAGCTAGATTTATTTAAGATTGGATTATCTTTTCAATCTACGAACTTGACTTATTTGAACCAAGTATTATACATAATTTTTTAAAATTCGGATTTAATCATATTTAACTCATACGTTATTTTATTAAAAAATATTTTTATTTAATTTTAATTTTAAAATATATTTAAGAATATAAAATATAAATATTTTAATATTTTAAAAGTTTTAAATTTTTGACGCTTATCAAATCAAATTTGAATGAAACATTTGAAAGATCAATTGAGTTAATCAGATGAATAATTTGCCGAAGATTAAACACATCAACCGTGATAATTTTAACAAGTTAAAAAAAAATGTATAACTAATAGTCACATTCTAATTCTCTGGGGTGAGAGAGTTTGCCTTGTACCCATGGTCTATTGACTTAATATTAATTAATCTTATAAATTCCATTGCGTTACTAGACCTAAAAATTTTGTGGAATTATTTTGCAGCGGCCCCCACTTGAAGGAAGAAAAATCAGACTTTGTCTATACGATTTTATGATTTGTTTCTGTCATTAAAATCATTTTACCGCCTGGGCGTAAAGGATTAAAGTTGGAATTGTCTTTGTTATAACTTGTCTAGCAAGAATAAGGAGGCAAGGACTGAACAAGGCACTTAATTTTGTAGGCTGTAGCTTTAATGTTTCACAAAATTCCAAGGTTTTACATTAAATTTGGAAAATTAAGAAAAATGGGAAGTTTTATCTCTTCAATACACTGCTACAGTAAGGGGAATCGAATATTCAATGTTTCCAAAATTATAATCTCTGCAAAATGTTTTTCGCTGGCTTCGAGCTTTCCAAATTTGCATGGAAAAGGTTGTTCGTTTATGGCTGTCATAAGCATTATTTTCGGTTGGTAAACATTAATTTTATGAATAAATTGACAGCACCTCCTTGTACACGCACGGATTTGAAGAATTTACAAGCAGTGAGCTAGTTCTAATGAGCATTCCTGTCCAAGACAAAAGTGCAGTCGATGTTTAAAAAAAAAAAATACAAGAAAAATAATATAAAAAAATTTTAACTTTAAGGCGTGAAAAATATTTTTTTAAAAGTAATTATGCATTTTAGATATAATAAAGTCTCAAACTCTCCGATAAGAAACAGTGAAATGGTTATAATAAAAAATTTATTTATAATAAATAAATAGATATAAACTTTTATTCAAATAATTATAATTTTTTGTACAATTATGATCTTTATAAATAATAATCTGTTTATATTTAAATAGTTATGATCATTAAATAGTTATGATCATTTATTATATGATAATTGTTTCTATTCAAACATAATTATTTAAAATATAAATAAAATTAATACAAAAATTAATCTTATTCATCAATAATTAAATCTTTTTATCTAATGTGAGATTTTTTTTTGTCCAATGTGAGATACACCACATTCTAAACTACCAATAATCTCTCACTAGTTTG